TGTAGGCATTTTAACGCACAGCAATAATCGTTCTTGATGAGTAATGACTGATGACTACTGTAACACAGTAAATCCTCGAAATCGAAAATTTAAAACACTGAAAAATTCAAATATGGGAAAATTGTAAAATCGAGAAATCGAAACATAAAAAAATCAAAAAAATAAAAATTGGAAAATCTAAAATTTAAAAATCGAGAAATTGAACAATCGGTTAATTCAAAAATCGAAACATCGAAAAATTGGAAAATCGAAAAATAAAAAAAAATTGGACAATCGAAAATTTAAAAATTCCGAAAATTGAAAAATTGAAATATAGAGAACTGAAAACTCAAAAAATCGAAAAAAATTAATAATTTCAAAAATTGAAAAGTTAAAATTGAGAAATCGAAAAACTGAAAAATCACAAAATTGAACGAAATATCAAAAAATTAGGAAATTAAAAAATTGAGAAACAAAAAAGTCAAAAAATCAGTCTAAAAATCGCAAACTTAAAAAATCGAAAAATTGAAAAATCAAAAACCTGAATAATCGAAAAATTGAAGAACTGAAGAACTGAAAAATCGAAACATTACGAAGTGGAGAAATGGGAATATAAAAAAATAGATTAATTGAGAAATCCAAAAACTAAACATTCAGAAACGTCAAAATTTGAAAAATAAAAAAATATTGAAGAACTAAAAAATCGAAAAATCTAAAATTTAAAACACTGAAAAGTTAAAATATCCTAAAACTGAAAAATGGAGAAATCCAAACATCACAAAATCAAAAATAAAAATAAAAATAAAAATCTAAAATTTAATAATCGAAAAACTGAAAAATCAACGAATCGAGAAGTCGAGAATTTAAAAAATTGGACAATTGAAAAATCGGATAAATCAAAAACCGAAACATTGTAAAATTCAAAAATTGAGACATCGAGAAATCGAAAAATCAAAAGACAAAAAAAAATCGAGGAGTCGAAAAATCGAGAAGTCGAAAAATCAAAAAATTGAGAAACCGAAGTAGGCCAAAATCGAAAAATCGAAAACTTAAATATGGAAAAAATTGATAAAGCGAGATTGAATAATCAAAACATCGAAACATCCGAATCTCAATGAATTGAGATCTCAAAAAATTTAAACATTCGTAAATTTAAAAAATTAAAATATAGAACTGGAAACTCGAGAAACTGAAAAATCTAGAAATTTAAAAATTAAAATATGAAAAAGTTGAAAAATTGAGAAACTAAAATAAAAAACAAAAAACTGAAAATCCAAAAATAAAAAATAGAAAAATCTAGAAGTCGAAAAATGAAAGAATAGAAGTATTGAAAAATATCAAAACTGAAAGAAATATCCAAAAATTGAGAAATCGACAAACCAATAAAGCGAAGTCGAAAAATCGAAGAATTGAAGAACTGAAAAATCGAAACTTTGAGAAGTGGGAAAATCAAAAATAGATTAATTGAGAAATCAGAAAACTGAAAATTTAACGCAAAAATTTGAAAAATTCAAAAATTTAAATACTGAAGAACTGAAAAGTCAAAAAATCGAGAAATCGAAAAAACTAAAATTTAAAACAATGAATAATTAAAATATCGCAAAATTGAAGAATCGAGAGATCCAATTCAATTTGAAAAATTGAAAAATCGAGGCATTGAAAAATTGGAAAATCCAGAAATTGAAAAGCTCAAAAGAAAAAAATTGAAAAACCGAGAAATCCAAAAATCGAAACATCGAAAAATTCAAAAACTGAGACTTCGAGAAATCGAAAAATCGGAGGATCGAGAAATTGAGGAGTCGGAAGCCGAAAAGGAAAGTTAAAAATTGAAAAATTGAGAAATCGAACAATCAAAACAACGAAACATCTGAATTCGATAAATTGAGAAATTAAAAAATTGAATAATCGAAAAATTTTAAAAAAGAAAAACTGGAAAATCAAAAATTAAAATTCAAAAAATCGAAAAATGAAAAATTGAAATATAGAAGAACTGAAAACTCGAGATATCGAAAAACCTAGAATTTTAAAAAATGAAATATTAAAACATCGAAAAGTTTAAAAATTGAGAAATCGAAGCATTAAACAGTCCCAGAATGGAAAAATCTAAAGTTTACAATAAATGAAAATCCAAAAAGGAAAAAGTGAGAAATCAAAAAAAAATCCATCAATTCAAAAATCGAAAAGTCGAAATTGAAATATTGAAAAATTTCATAACTGAAAGAAATATTAAAAAAATTGAGAAATTAAAAAATTGGAAAATTGAGAAATCGAAAATCTAAAAAAGCAAAATTGAAAAATCGTAATCTTAAAAAATCGAAAAATTGAGGAATTGAAGATATGAAAAATCGAAACTTTAGGAAATCCAGAAATGGACAAATAAAAAAAATACTTTAGAAATCGGCAAACTGAAAATTTAGAAACGTGAAAATTTGAAAAATTGAAAAATCGAAATATTTAAAAACCGTAAAATTGAAGAGGACAAAAATTGAGAAACCGTATCATTGAAACATCGTAAGATTGAGAAATCGAAAAATAAAAAAATCGAGAAATAGAAAATTTAAGGAATGGGGGAATCGGAAAAGCCCAAAATTGAAATATTGAAAAATTGAGACATTTAAAGTTGAGAAATCGAGAAATCCACAAGCCGAAAAATTCCAATAGCGTATTTAGGTATAAATCACAAGATCAGGACTATTCTACTTTTTAAAATTTAAATACATAACATTATAAATTGGAAAATGTTGATTTTTTTTTCCAAAAATCTTGACGTCTAAGGTGAAAACTCGACACGGATGCATAAACCGTAAACGGGGCCAAACTACAATTTTACTATTGTAAAATTTGGACATTGCGTCATTTCATTGTTCATTGTTCGAGACAAATTTTGGAGGGTGTAATTTGATAATACAATTTGAAATGTAAATTTTGTCATTCGGGAACATTATGTATTAAATCGTTAAGATGTTCAAGAACTTTGTTCACTTATTCGTTGTAAAGTCCAATGGTCGAAATGGGTTATTTCTTCGTAGTGGATGTGTATCAGATCAACTCTAACGAATATCGGTTTATAGATAAATCGCTTAAAGCCGATATTGGCCTGAGTGTGCTTTGGTTTGTAGATCAAACAAGTTCTCAGGCGACGAAAAATTGCATGTGGAGGGAGACTTCGGATTACAAATCGTGTCAAGAAAGACATATTTGGGAGAGATGGATTTTCAGGTGCTTGACTAGCGGTAATTTTAAATTATTTGCTGTCGTTCGCGAAGTGAAGAACACAATTTCATTAAAATGATAATTATAAAATTATCATAATCACTATTGGTATAAATTAACACAAGTTGATTTCGTTAATAAATTCATAGAAACCTATAAGGGATTTTTTCATGCCTTAGAAAATTAAAAAGTAAAAAATAAAATAACAAAAATTTTAAAATGCGGTTTACGAAAAATTAGTTGACCTGTGCAAAGAAGAAAATTTTGGAAACGCTGACAAATATGACATCTTAAAAAAAATAACACTTGAAGAAGTGCTTTCGGCGTAATGTTTTTGATGCTCGCGTGAACAAAATACTCTATGTCAGTGTGCAGTGCGCAAAGAGTTAACTGTGCAGATCTAGCCGAAAATCCGAAAACCAAATCGCTGTGTGTAGGGCCAGCATAACGGAAGTAATAAATCATCCCATCGGTTGAAGAACGTTGGGTCGGTGCACTGATGTCGGTGTTATATCCCGAGAGGGGCCCAATACACCCAATAAAATGGAACAGACAAAATAAAGCTTCAAACATGAGTATTTTTATACTAAAATTCTGAAGTTTATAAACTGCACATTTTATTTATTTATTTATTTTATCTTGTTTTCGAACTATAATAAACATTTCAAACAATGTCTGTAACTTATTTTAATGTAAATTATATTCATGTGGTTAACAAAATCAGATGTAATATTAGTGTGATTTTGACCTTATTCTAGATTTTATTACAGCAGAACGGCGTATCCTTTTTAAATTTTAGAAGTTACGGAAACTAGTTCAAGAAACAATTAGTTATCTCGGATTTTTGGAACAAAATCTACCAAAATGTCCGATAACAGCAATTGTTTTTCATAGAAACAAACAGTCTTCAAATCAGCCTTTAACAACTCGATATTACAAACATGCCTCTTAAGTTGTTTATGCGTTTTTTTCTCTCTTGTAATTATTTGTAATGTTAACGCCGAAAGTTTATGTCATTCTGTTACTTACTTTGAACATATATTTTCATTTTGTGTTAATATTTTTGTAACACCACGAATCTAAATTTTACTTAAAATCTTATTTTACTTTAATCTTGTAAAACTAAACAATTATACCAGTTTAAAAACCCTTGGAAAGTTTCTGTCAGTCTTCAGATATAGTCAAATAAAAATATGCGTCAAATTCATTTAAATTCAATTCTTTCTTATCACGTTACAACGCGTTGCTTCATATTTTTTATGTCAAGTATATTTTCATATTTTGTACATATATGTTTATACATATTACTGTTTACGGAACAATGTTAATTATGGATTTATGGATAACTCCTCGTATAAGAGCAGAGTAAAGGGTGTTTGCCTTTGCTAATGTTTGATGGCGCCATCTGATTTAGAGTAAAATAAACCTAATACGTTGGCTCACTGTAGTGAAAATGCGCGTTGACGAAAAATTTGTCCCACGCCCCCTGGATTCCTTGTCCTAAAGCTCACTATTTAGGCGAAGTAAAATTTGTATTAGGTTGTCCAACTATAATATACTTAAACAATGATATTATATACTTTTTCATGTTGATTTTGTGTGTTTGTCCAAGACATCGAACTTTTTTTAATGACACTGTATATTTATTTATATAAACAATCAACGGCCTAATTTCGATTGTTCCGCCAGTCTCGACTTTATCTTTTTTCAACGCAACCGGTTATGGGTGCATTACGGCCAGCCCACATATTGAACGGCATCAGTTTCGCGTTCGCTACACAACAAGAAAACAACAAAACAATACTTACGAACGTCGTGAACATGTAGTGGTATCTGTAGTCGTTCATCTGCAGCTGCAATATCTGCAAACAAACCTCACAATTAAACGAAATCCTTCGTTCGTACCGTCATCGGACTAATTGCATCCGAAAGCCTTAAACTACTCGCCCTCGACGCGGTTGCATTGTTGTCAGTCCGGATAAATCCCAATCGGAAAACAAAGCATAGTTCGTTTGAGCAAACTAAGTTAGAAATAACGTTTTGTGTTCGTTGACACAGCAAAGCGCCTTAGCAGGTTTAACTTCGATTCGCCGTCACCAGCAGATCAAAGCGTGCTCTGGATTTCTGTAAACCTGAAGCTGCCATCAAATTGGCGGCCTTTGTAGGCCGTGGGATCAGCGCTAACAACATGTGGGGTTCCCAATTTAACTGTGCGGTATTTATAGGCATAAAACGCGAAAAGGGAAAAATCGCCTCTATAAATATTGGAATAAAGGAGAAATTTATGGAGCGACGCCGCGTTTATTTTTAGCCCGGTCCTGGAAAAAAAGCGCGATTTTTAATTAAGTTTTATTTGTTTCTAGGCGTCGATGTTTACACGGCAGCTACTAGATTCTTTTTCTTGGAGATTTTCTCTTCGTTTCGGTTTTTGGTGTCGTTTCGACGCCTCAAAATAAAATTCTGCGTTTAAATTGCTCCGACCGACCTGAATAACTCGATTCGCCCGGAATTATTGGGTGCGCTCGGTGTTATTGTCGTCCAGGAAGGAAGGCCGGTTATTTGATCCACACAATACAATATTTCCCTAATGAAAAACACGTTTGACCTATATTACGAATACTTCCCCGGATTCCGAAGCTCCCGTTCGATAGGGATTAGCGAAAATATTTTTATCGTCGGATAAGAGTAATTTGGAAATGTCATGGCCGAGAAGAGATAATCCTCCGAGGAAATGCCTATTGAAAACATGCTAAAGCGACTCATTTTTATCCGAATTTATTAGCCCTGGAGAGATTTTATCACGGCCGGTGTGGAGAGGAGCGAGTTTTGTTAATGTAATTTCTGGTTTTTATTTTGTTGTCGGATTCCGATGAGCAGGATTCGCGTTCATTAGCGGCGTACGGTCCGCCAGGGCCGGATCGATAGCCGAACAAAGTTTTACGATCATTTACAGCGGCAACTTTTCGGATAGGTTTTCCATTAATGATCGCAGAAATGACAAATTGTTTTTCTTCGTGTTTTGTCAATGTTCATGAAAATTTATGAGCGCTGGCGTTATCTGCAAGACTTGCGAAATTTTAAACCTGTTATTAAATTATTATAAAACGTATTTTTTTTTTTTAGGTAACTTAAGTGTTTGTTATGCACAATATTTTTAATAAATATTTTTAGTGAAAAAATAACAAAGGCCTGTACATTATTCTATTTGAGTTAAGCTTCTTACTAATACTGAGAGGACATTTTATCCTGTTGGTTATCTGCTTTAAATATATTTTACCAATTTTTTTAAGGTATTTTTGCACTATTAAAATTTTCGAGTTTTCAATTTCTCGAGGTGTCCGATATTTCAGTTTTGCGATTTTGCCATATTTCGACTTTTCCATTTTTTACTCCCTCGATTTTTTGACTTTTCGAAAAACAAATTTGGACACTAAAAAATCGAAAATCTGGAAAAACAGAAAATCCGAAACATCGATAAATCGAAAAACTGAAAATTTTAAAGATCGAATAGTTGAAAAATAAAGAAATTCAAAAATCGAAGAACTGAAATTTCAAAAAATTGAAAAATCGAAAATCTGTTTAATCGAAAAGCTGGGAAATGGAAAAATAAAAAACCTTGAGACAACGAATAATTGAAGAATCGAAAATGCGAAAAATACAAAAAAAATTAAAAATTTAAAAATCGATAAACCAAAAATCAAATAATCGAAAAATCGAAAAACTGAAAAGTTGAAAGAGCAAGTAGACGAAAAATTAAGAAATCTCAAAATCGAAGAACTGAGATATCAAAAAATTGAAAATTTCAGAAATTGTATAAACGAAACACTGGGAAATGGAGAAATTAAAAAACTGAAACAACGAATAATAATTGAAGAATTGATAAAGCGAAGAACTTTAAACTCAAAAATCTAAAATTTGAATAATTAGAAAATAAAAAAAATCAAAAAATGAAAAACCGAAAAACTGAGGACGACAAAGATAAAAATCAAAAAATTCAAAAAGTAAAAAACAGCAAAAGTTAAATTTTGAAAAATAGAAAAATTTCTGTTTCCCGATTTTACAATTTCTAGGTGTTCCTGCTTTTCAATTTCTGGATTTTTGGATTTTTCAATGTCTCGTTGTTTTGACTCTTTGAAAGATTGAAGAATATAAAAACTCGAGAAATTCAGAAATCGTCAAATCGAAAGTTTGAGAGAAATCGGAAAGTCGAATAAACTTGAAAAATCGAAAAAAGAAAAATCAAAAAATCGATAAACTGAAAAAACTAAAAATCGAAAATCAAAAAAACTAGCAAGTTGAACGATCGAATAATCAAAAAATCAAAAAATCGATAATTCGAAGAATCGAGGAACAGAACAATAAAAAAATTGAAAATGTGTATTATAGAAAAAAAAACTGGTAAGTGGAAAAATTAACAAAAAAAATATAATTAATAATTAATTATTAATAATTTGAAATTAGAGAAACTGAAAAATGAAAAACCCAAAAAGCGAAGAGAACAAAGACAAAAATCGAAAAATCGGAAAATCAAGAAATTGAAAAACCGCAAAAATTAAAAACTGAAAAATCTAAAAGAAGTTAAGTCGAAAAACCGAAAAATGTAACAAAAATTCTAGAAAATCAGAAACCATAAAATCGAAAATTCGGTAAATCGCGAAATCGAAAAATCGGGGAACTGAAATACCCAATAATTAAAAAAAATGAAAATTGAAAAATCGAAAATTTGTATGAACGAAAAACTAGGAAATGGAAAAATTGAGACAACGAATAACGGAGGAATCGAGATATTTTTTAAGTCGAAAAATCGAAGGAATGAAAAATTGAAAAGTGCAAAAATAGAAAAATCCAAAAATTTAACCAGAAAAATTAAAATTTGAAAAATCGTGAAACCCAAAAATGACGGAATGGAAATAACCAAATATTGAAAATTCGAGAAATTGAAAAATCGAAGATTGGTATAATTGAAACATTGGATAATGGAAATATTAAAAAATTGAGAGAACGAATAACGTAAGACTTGAAAACTGAAATATAGAAAAACTGAAAAATTGAATATTTGACTCACTAAAAGATAGAGAAATCGAAAAATGAAAAATCGGAAAATTGAGGACCAGAACGATAAAAAAATCGAGAAACTGAAAAATTGCAAATTTCAAATTGTCGATTTTTCAATTTTTTTGTTTTGCACTTTTTCAAATAGGGGTTTATTGATTTTTCGGTTTTTCAATGTCTCGTTTTATTTTTGACTTTTTGAAAGATTGAAAAGTATAAAAATTGAGAAAACGAAACATGGAAAAACTGAAAAATGGAGTAAACAAAAAATCTTAAAATCGAGAAATTTAGAAATCGTGAAATTGACAAATCGAAAGTTCGAAAAATCGAAAATTCGAATAAATTGGAAAATCGAAAAATTGAAAAATCGAAAATTCTGAAAAATCCAAAAATCGATAAACCTTAAAAACCAAAAATCGAAAAATCGAGAAATTGTAAAATTGAAAAATCCAATAATCGAAAAATTAAAAAATCGAGAAATCGAAAAATCGAAGAACACAACAATCAAAAATTGAAAATTCGAGAGATTGAAAGATCTAAAAATTGAAAAAACCGAGACAACGAATTATTGAACAATCGATAAAGTAAAAAATCGATAAATTGAAAATTTAAATAATCGAAAAATGGAGAAACAGAAAAATGAAAAAAAGAAAATTCGAGGGCGACAAAGACAAAAATCGAAGAGTGGAAAAATGTGGAAGATCAGAAATTGAAAAAACGCAAAAGTTAAAAAAAATGCAAATTCTAGAAATTGAAAAACTATAACTTTCAATTTCTGGATTTTTTATTTTTTGACTTTTCGATTTTTCGACTTTAAAAATTGTTGAAAAATCAAAAAATTGATAAATTGAGTAATTGAAAGATACAGAAATCAAAAAATGAGAAATTGAAAGATTTAGGATGAGAAAGAAAAATTGAAATGTCGAAAAATCCAAAAACTTTTAAAAACCGCAAAAGTTAAATTTGAAAAATTATCGATTTTTCAATTTGTAGGTTTTGCTCTTTTTCAGATTTTGAGTTTACGAATTTTTCGATTTTTCAATGTCTCGTTTTTTTTGACTTTTTGAATGATTGAAAAATATAAAATTGAAATATTCAGAAATCGTGAAATAGGCAAATCGAAGGTTCGAAAAATTGAGAAATCGAAAAGTCCAATAAATTGTAAAATCGAAAAATCCAAAAATCGGAAAAATCGAAAAATCAAAAAAATTAAAAATCGAAAAATCAAAAAGCAGAAAAATTGTAAGATCCAACAATCGAAAAATTAAGAAATCGACAAATCAAAAATCAAGGAACACAACAATTAAAAAATTGAAAATTCGGGAAATTGGAAGATCTTAAAATTTAAAAATCGAAAAATTGAGAAATAAAGAAATTAAAAAACCGAGACAACGAATTGTTGAACAAAGAAAAAGAGAAAAATCGAGGACGACAAACATAAAAATCGAAACATCGTAAAATTGGGAAAACCAGAAACTCAAAACGGCAAAAATTAATAAAAAATTGACAAATTTAGCAATTGAAAAATTGCCAATTTCAATTTCCAAATTTTTCAATTTTTAGCCTTTGCGGTTTTCCAATTTCTGGATTTTTCTATTTTTCGACTTTTCGATTTTTCATTCTCTCGATTTTTCGACTTAAAAAATATCTAAAAATTGAAAAATCGAAAAAATTAGGAATCCTATAATCGAAAAATCGAAAAATCTAAAATACGAAAAATTGCAAAACTGAAAAACTGAAAAATTTTCAACAAAGCAACTAAAAAATCAAAAAGAAAAATCTGACATGATCCAACCTGACCTAGCCTGACCTGACCTGACCTTGACCTGACCGCTCTGAATTTGAGGGAAGTGCTGAATTTTTGATAAAGGAGCTTCAAAATTTATACTTACGGAAATTGTATTCATTACTACACAAAGTAATTAGACAAGCCAGCGAAACAAGGCAAGTGCACCCGAAATAATGAGGTTGTTTATCATGAATCGGTGTTAACTACGAAGAACATCATGACCTGTTCAAATTCTACTGAACGTCTATTGTTTCTGCTATACTTCAAACATTATTAATAACTAAGTTTTGGCTATTTGTACAAGACAATAGTTTTATTTACTTTATTTTATTTATTGAGATGACTTCATTTATGTTTATATTTTCAAATGAGCAATTTTATAATATATCGGGAAAGGTAACTCGTCAAAAAAATGTATTAATTAATAAATCAGTCCAGCCGCTTTCGTCTCCAGAAACAAGGATCCAAAGATAAGTAATGGCGTTGAAACGTCAACATTTGTGAATTTACGACACTCTCAGCGAGATGAAATCGAAACCATTCCCTCCCTAATCATGTAAATAACGCAAACCGCAACATCCACAGCAGCTACTTACCGCTCTAAAAAATTTTTGTATGTTCCTCGGGTTCGTGTCGACGATGAGCTTGTAAATCTCCTTCTGTCGCACCTCCCGCAGGACTTGGCGATAGGAGGTGGGTCCCGCTTGACGGATGTACATCTCCGTCTTGGCGGCGGCCGGAGTTTTCACCAGTTCCTGGAGCTTGAACAGCCCTGCAACACACTCGCCACATGGAGAGAAAAAGCATTAGCGAATGCGACTTCGTTGCAGGATCTTTCTTTCGATCCCGATTCCTGCAAGGAGTGTCGCACCTTATCGCTCCGAATCATGCATCGTGATTGTAAAGGTCTCGGAAACAAATGGAAGTGTGATGGGAGCAGCTGTTTTCTCTGGAATAATCCGCGTCTTATCTGGCCATCAAAAAAGGTTTAATCATACAAGAACGAAAGCTCGTAAAAGAACGCAATATCAAAACAACATGCGATGCTACAAGGATATTGTAGAGAATAAAATATTGCGTGCTTGTGATCCCCGACTATACGAAAATTAATCCACACTCTGAAACCCCACTAACAAGAAACGCTGCAGCGTTCCACGAAAAATTGGATTAATAAATTTCGCGTTACTGCTCCGAGTGCTGATGAAAGCTGGAAGATTCGAAAGAGGTGAATTAAAAATTCGGATGGTTCTTGTTTTAACGATCATGCAAGTCGAAGCTTTAAAGCTCTCGCTAAAGAACTAATGCGCTTTGCTAATAAGTATAAGGTAATAAAGCTTTAAAGTTGCACAGCTGCTGACCTTTTCCCCCGACAAGTGGAACTGAAGAAAAAAACATTTTCTAACTGAGTGGCTCTTTTACAATTTGGGAGCGTTCTAGACAGCTTATGAATAATACTCGCAATGCTCGCGTTCGGAAAGGTGAGAGAAGTTTGCAAAGTTCGGGCTCGGCGGTTTCGCTGTTGACATTTTGGGAGTATTAGACACGGGCCGGAGCCGGCTTACGTTTCAATTCTCACTCTCCGAGAGTCCAAAAATAAGCCGCTTCCGCTACGTCGACGGTAATTTCATTGTCGAGCTTAGAACGAGAAAGCACTCACCGTAGTCTTCCTCGTAAATGATCGCGACTTTGGTCCAGTTCAGGAAGGTCATGAGGTCCTTGAAGGCCTTGTTCATGTGCTCCTGGCTCGGGTGCAGGTTGATGGACAACTCCTTCGACGACGGCTCGAAGTCGATGCGCGCCTCGAGGTGAGGGACGTCGAGGGCTTCGCAGATGCTTTGGATGTGGGCACCTAAGACGGGGTCGGACGGACCGAAGATCGCTTGGACTCCGAATTCCATCTGGCGACACGCTGGAACAAAGACATCCAAATTTAAATCCTATTATAATTAGAAAATACAGTAAAAAAAATTGGTCTAAAGAGTTTAGACAGTACTTCCCTCGCTGTCGGAAACTTGACGACTGCATGGCTATTGTGTTTTTTTCTCATTACATTTTTGTAGTGGGAATTTAAAAAAAATTGCGATGACGTCATCAACATTTTTGCAAGGACACGTATATCAGTTGGGATAGATGTAGTGTAATACTAAGAATAAAATTATTGTATTCCCAAATTTTCGGGAAAATGAATTGGGTCGTTTTGAATATTGATTTTTTATAATCAAGAAAATAACGAAACAATTTACTCGCGTATACGGCAACTGAAAATCGTTTATGTATAAACATTCTTAATATAAGATGACAAGCGTAACAGCATACGTGAAAGTCAAACAGAGAAACTGTAAACAAAACGACCATCGGTTTTATTACTTCGACTTCCGCTTATTATATAAAACATTGGGTTTTATTTTAATTCTTGACGGTGAAATTCACAATTGGTTGATTATAAACATGTCTATTTCACATTCGCGGAACCAAGTGATCGCATAAAACAAATGCAGGTCTGTAATGTTAAAGTCGATGTAAATAAGCGTGCTACCCTTATGTTTCAACCGAGTTTTTCCTTTAACAAATTTTGTGTCTACCAAATTGGGTTGGTTGTGGTGTAATACTAATAATAAGTGTTGCCTTTAATTTAATCAATAAAATAAATTGACTTCATTAATTTTTTTGAACCACCTCTTAAGAAAATCTAAAAAATATGAATGGAATGATAAATCACAAGTACAAACTCATCATATTTTTTGCATTTTAGATAGGATTTATTCAGCAAAATTTGAGGGTGACGTCATCAATTTTTTTAGGAGGGATGAACAAATACATTTTGAACAAAAGTTTACCATGCTTATAATAACTTTAAAATATTCCCAAGATTTCAAAGCATTCGGTTTTCTAATTCCTGATTAAATCGATAAAATAAATTCACGCCTTCATTAATTTTTTTGAGTCACCCTGCATATGCAAATCCAAAAATATGATTGGAATGATAAATCACAAGTACAGACTCATCATATTTTGTACATTTTAGATACGATTTATTCGGCAAACTTTTGAGCTGACGTCATCAGTTTTTTGTAGAAGATAACCAAATATATTCTGACTAAAAATTTATTATGCTCTTTATAACCTTAAAACATCTGCAAGATTTCAAAGCATTCGGTTTTGTAGTTCCTGATTAAATCAATAAAATACATTTACGCATTCATTAATTTTTTTGAGTCACCCTGTATATGCAAATCGAAAAAATTTGAATGGAATGATAAATCACAAGAAGAGACTCACCATATTTTGTACATTTTAGATAGGATTTTTTCAGCAAAATTTTGTGGTGACATCATAAATTTTTTAGGGGGGACGACCAAATACGTTTTGATCAAAAATTTACCATGCTTATGATAATTTTAAAATATCTTCAAGATTTCGAAGCATTCGGTTTTGTAGTTCCTGAGTAAATCAGTAAAATAAATTTACGCTTTCATTTATTTTCTTAAATCACCCTGTATATGCAAATCCAAAAAATATGAATGGAGTCATAGATCACAAGTACAGACTGATCATATTTTGTACATTTTAGATATGATTTATTCCACAAACTTTGGAGCTGACGTCATCAAGTTTTTGGAGGGGATAAGCAAATATTTTTTGACTAAAATTTATGATGCTCTTTATAGCCTTAAAACATCTGCAACATTTCAAAGCATTCTGGTTGGCAGATTAAAAATTAAATTTCAAAATGTTGTTTTATAATTTTGATTTTTTTTCCAAAAATCTGGACGTTTCGGGTGAAAAGTCGATTCAGAGTTGTAAACTACATGTGTAGGACTATGTTATTTTATACAATTGAAAACCCATTTACTATGTACAATTTTGAAGTGACGTCATCGCATTAGTGGTGGGGATGATTAGACAAATTTTGGTTAGCGTTTTACCATCTACATGATATTCTTAATATAAGTACAAAATTTCACAACAATCGGTCGAGTACTTTCGGAGATTATCTGTCTAATAAAAATCCGGGACAACAGACGGACAGACGGACGGACAGACGGACGGACAGACGGACAGACGGACAGACGGACAGACGGACAGACAGACGGAAATGGGAGACCTATTTCTTCGTCTTCTAGGGGTCATGAAAAATCGAGAAAACGTAAAAGTAGAGAGTCGGCCGACGGACTCGATTACAATACTTCCTTTGCTTACGCTCGGGAAGTAAAAATCGAAAATTTGAAAAATCGGGAAAACGAAAATGCAAAAAATCGGAAAACTGAAAACTGGAAAATCTGAAAATCGAAGAATAGAAATATAGACTAAACGAAATTCGAAAAGTCGAAAAATGGAAAAATTGAGAAATCGAAAATTGAAAAATTGTAAATCGAAAAGCCGAAAAATAAAAAAAACGAGAAACCCAAATTGGAACATCAAAAAACCGGGAAATAGCGAAATCGAAAAGTTGAAAAGTCGAGAAATCGACAAACCAAAAAGTCCGAAACGAAAATTGTGGAGATATGGAAAATTTGAAAAATCGAAAAATTTAAATATTGAAAAGTTAAAATTTCGTAATCAAAAAATTAAAAAACCGAGAAATGTGAAATCAAAAAAACAAAAAACTGAAAAATAAAAGAACTGAAGAATCGGAAAACGAAAATTCGAGAAATTGAAAAATTAAAAATGCTAGAAATTGGAAAATGCAGAAAAATTGGAAAATCGAAAAATTGAAAAATCGAAAAGTTAAAAAAATGGTAAATCGAAAAATCGAAAAGTTGAAAAAACCGAGAAATCTAAAGATCAAAGAAATGGAAAACCGAAACATCGAGAAAGCGAAGCGTCGAAGACCCAGAAATCGAAAAGTCGGGAAATCGAAAAATCGACAAATCGAAAAATCTAAAATTAAAGTATCGAAAATTTGAAAAATCCAGAAATGAAATGATTTTCAAGATTGAAGTGTTGAAAAATTGAGATTGCGAAAAATCAAAATTTGAAAATTAAAAAAATCGAAAATTTGAAAAATCGAAGTATTGAAAAACTGTAAAATGGAGAAATCGTTAAGAACACAAATTGAAAATAGAAAAATCGAAAAATCAAAAATTTGAACACCGAAATTTCGAAAAAATCGAAATACCTATAGAAAAAATGGAATTCGAAAGTCGAAGAATCGAAAATTCGAAAATTCGAAAAATCCAAAAACCGAAAAATTAAAAAATCGAAAAGTCGAAATAGAAACATCAAAAACCTGGAAATAGAGAAATTGAAAACTTGAGAAGTCGAGAAATCGACCCACCAAAAAATATAAAATATAATATCGAAAAATGGAAAAGAGAAAAATTATGAAAAATTGAAATACTAAAAAATCACAAAAATTGTAAAATAAAAAAAAATCAAAAATCGATAATTGGAAAAATCGAAGAATCAAAAAATTGAAAAATAGAGAAATCAAAAAGGAAATAAATTGAAAATTCGAATTTTCGGAAAACCGCAACTTCGATGAATTATATATTCGAATTAACGAAAATCTAAAAATGGAAAATATAAAAACCGAAAATTCAAAAATTTGAAACTCGAGATTTCGAAAAAATCGAAATATAGAAAAAACGAAATATGGAAAGTCGAAAAATGAAAAAGCTGGAATATCGAGAAATCGAAATTAAAAGACCGAAAATTCGAAAATATAAATATCGAACAATCGAAATAAAGAATAAATGAAATACGGGAAGTCGATAAATCGAAAATTTTAAAATCGAAAAATGGTCAAAAGATGAAAAAATTGAAAAACCGAGAAATCGAAACATCAAAAGACCGAAAAATCGACAAACCGAAAAATCTGAAATTGAAATATCAAACAATTGAAATATCCAGAAATGAAAAAAATTTCAAGATTGAAGTGTTGAAAAATTGAGAAATCCAAAAATCAAGAATCGAAAGTTGTAAAAATTGAAAATTTGAAAAATCGAAAAACTGAAAAATTGAAAAATAAAGAAATCGAAAATCCGAGAATTCGGAACACCGAATATTCGAAAATCTAAAAATCTAAAAAAGAGAGCCCGAAAAATTAAAAGTTTGAAGACTGGAATTTCGAAAGAGTTGAAATATAAAAACTAAACGGCATATGGAAAGCGAAAAATCGAAAATTCTCAAATTTAAAAATCGAAAAGACGTAGAATGGAAAAATATCCAGAAATAGTAACATCAAAAGACCAAGAAATCGAGAAATCGAAAGGTCTAGAAGTCGTAAAGTCAACAAACCGGAAATGTGAAAAATTGAAAAATTTAGAAATGGAAAAATTCTCCAGAATTGAAGTGTTGAGAAGTTGAGAAATCGAAAACTTCAAAAATTAAGAAATCGAAAAACTTTAAACATTGAAAAATCCACAAGTCGAGATACGGAAAATTTGAAAAATTTAAATATTGAAAAGTTAAAATTTCGTAATCAAAAAATTGAAAAACCGAGAAATGTGAAATCTGAAAAAACAAAAAACAGAAAATTAAAAGAACTGAAGAATCGGAAAACGAAAATTCGAGAAATTGAAAAATTAAAAATGCTAGAAATTGGAAAATGCAGAAAAATTGGAAAATCGAAAAAACGAAAAGTCGAAAAGTTGAAAATACCGAGAAATCTAAAGATCAAAGAAATGGAAAAGCCAAACATCGAGAAAGCGAAGCGTCGAAGATCCAGAAATCGAAAAGTCGGGAAGTCGAAAAATCTAAAATTAAAGTATCAAAATTTGAAAAATCAAGAAATGAAATGATTTTCAAGATAGCGAAAAATCAAATATTGAAAATTAAAAAAATCGAAAATTTGAAAAATCGAAGTATTGAAAAACTGTAAAATGGAGAAATCGTAAAGAAAACCAATTGAAAATTCGAAAATCCGAGAATTCGGAACACCGAAAATTCGAAAATATAAAAATTGAA